ATTAACAGAGAAAACAAGATACACTGGATAAATTACATTTCTTGCAGAAATGCTGTTTGAATGCTGCTTGCTGAAACTGATTGATGAAACTGCTAAATAACTGTAACAAAGTTTAAATTAAGCTAAACTGTCAGAATTAGAATAAGAGTTATCTCTCCAAAACCCTGATATTGGGGTGATGTTGACACGCCACACTTCCCGCGGCCGAGCCGGTCGTTTTGATGTAGCATTTGTAGGGGGGGCATGCTGCCATTTGAGCCGCATAAATAAATACATTTTGGGGTGATTCCTGTTCGAATGCTGTATCAGAATTCAAACAAAAATAAATGATCTTGTCCTGCAGCTGCATTACTGTACAAAGACTAAATGTACAGAAAACACTCCATCTTCTTTTCAACACCATCTTAATATTTTCCTACAGATAGCATTGAATCTACTTATTAAACCTGTAATAATTTGTGATTATTGCAAAATAAGGTATTAAAAATCATAGGACAATAACCATAAACAAATGTGACCATATTTATTGAGCTTTTGATGTTTGAAAGAAAAAAACTGATTAAAATGAAACAAAGATGGATGGGATAACAGATTTAACAGCTTACTGAGAGAAACCACCAGCTGGATTAGCTACCTTTAGTGGCCGTCTCTCTGGATGGAGACTTGGAGCGCCCGCTGGACGTGTCTCTCTTGCGTCCTCCTTTGAACAACAGATTAACAAAAGTCTTTGAGCGCTGCAGGGTGCTTTTTTCCTCTTGATCTTTCCCCTTCTGATTCTTCCCTTTCTTCTGCTTGATCTCTGTGATGAAGCACCAATAAAGCGGTTGTTTATAAGTTTAAAACATGCACAAATTATGGTTGATTGAACATTCACTCAGGCTGACCTGCAACGGTGACTTGGCTCTGCGACCTGCTGATGGGTCGGCTGGGTCTGCTGAGCGCCAGCAGCACGGCCGTCTTGGGCGACTCTTTCCATCGTCTGCTACCCTCCTCTCCACGGATTGCCGTGTCTTTGAGCAGAGTTGTTGGTCCGAGGCTGCGAGTCGTATCTGTGGCCATTTTCTGAGAGGGAATGTCCGTCTGGATGGCTGTCTCAGTTAGCTCTGACTCAGACCTAGACATAAGCACACAGACAAAGATTTCTATTTATTTTATTAAAGGGGACATATTACACAAAAGTCAACATTTGCATTGTTTTGTGCTGCCATGTGGGTCTCTACTGCCTCTGTCAACACTCCAAATGTGGGGGGAAAATCATCTATCCATTTTCAGTAGTGTTTGATTTTAGGAATGATGTGCCTAAGACAAGCTGTTTCAAAAAGTCCCCATTTGTGACATCACAAACAGGGAAAGTGAAGTAGAACTACCTCTATGTGAAAGATATAGCTGCTGCTGCTGGAGGATCAGCGGCTCTACTCTGACCCCCTCCCAGATGTCAGAGCTTTTCAGCTTATAGCAGCCTGAGCGGGATATGAGTGGGTGCGGCCAGCTCCAGACTGTTTTCTTAAAGTGATAGAACCCTGAAATGGCTCATTCTGGAAGGTACTGAAAATTTCAAGAATAAAACAGTAGAAAACGCTTAACGTGAGAGAGATTTAGTGCAAAGAACCTAAAAAACAAGCTTGGTGTCAACCATTTACAGTGTTGTTGTCTGTGAAATAAAGAATACTGATGTAGAGTAACTTGGTAAATGGCCTGTATTTGTATAGCACCTTCTTAGGGTTCTACAACCCCCCAAGGCGCTTCACAACACAATCAGTCATTCACACACTCACACGCTGGTGGTGATGAGCTACGATGTAGCCACAGCTGCTCTGGGGCACACTAACAGATGCAAGGCCTGCCAAAAGCTGGTGCTACCGGTCCCTCCAACCACCACTAGCAGGAAAGACGGGTTAAGTGTCTTGCCCGAGGACACAACTGCAGCATTCTCTGGTCGGAGCTGGGATCAAACCTGTAACTTTGCAATTAGTGGACAACATCCTCTACCTCCTGAGCTACCGATGCCACTACTTGTTGAATTTAAAACTAAGCCATTGTTTTTCTGTTGGAAAATCACTTTCTCTGGATGAATTTTAAAAGTAATGTTTGTTGTTTTATATGATTAAATCAGATTTTTTCCCATCTGATTCTGATCCATTGAAAATCACACGATCGGACTGGAACAACCCTAAAGATTATAGTGAGAATTTTACAGTGAGAAAATCCCAAAAGAGTCTGATGTTTCAGTCATTTTGGAAGGAATATTATACTAAAACAGGTTTCAAATCCAGCTGCGGGGATTGTCAATTTTTCTCCTTTCAAAACAAAGGAAGGAGGGACGTAACTACTGTTTACCATCAGTACGTGTTGGGTTGCCGTGTCTCCTGTGAGCTAATGCTGCAGCGCCCACAATTGTAATTTGACAGCAGTCGGCAAAAAGCGCCAGAGATGTTTAAAGTGGTTGCAGGAACCACATTTTACCACAGGATGTCATTTTTACTTCATTTCTACATAATGCACCTTAAGATTTTTCAGATTCTGTGAATGAGTCACCAATTCAGTTAAAAGGTGACCATGTGTTGGGAGCCACCAGACTGATTTTCTATCAGGTTTTCAACTTTCAAGTTCCCCAAACAATAAAATGTATATTTTAAATATTTGACTTGGTTTAAACACCTCTAAAAGCCTAAAGCAAGAACTTCTTCGTGATTTTGTTTTGTTTTATTGAATAGTATAGTAAATGAGGTGACCTCTGACCTCAGGTCCTCGGTGGAGATGCAGACGTCTACCATGTCTGAACCAAACGACAGGCTGGGTGGAAACATGACCTGGGACAGGCCACTCAGAGAGCTGACCGGAGTCCCGGAAGACAAAGAGGAGGCTGAGGAGTTGGAGTCGGATGCTTGGGAGGACGACTGCTGAACACCATTGGCCACTGAGTCAGAGAACAAAGGACCTTTCATTCATCCAAGTGTCCAAATCCTCCACAGATGGAACAACAAATACAAAACAACATACATTTATTGAGCCACCTGTATTCTGCCACCATCTCTTTGTAGGCTGGATAACGTCCTGCTTCCTGGCCACACAAGCAAAACACAAAGGAGACCCAGAATTTTCATGGGACTTAATATATTTGATAAAAAGAAACACTAGAACCACACAAACACCCTAAAACATACACTTGTCTTCATCATCTTGAGACAAAAGCATGCTTTTCCTTGTAACTTTTGACCATTGAGCTGATTTCTAACTTTACAGATTGTTTTAGCCTCCAAAGCAAAAACAAAGGCTGCACCAAACACAAGCTCTGTGCCTTTATCAGCACCCGATCCCGACGGCCTGGTGAATAATGCACAGGGATGGATATTCTTCACAGCACGAAACCTTAGCTCCCCAACAAGTAAAGTGAGCGAGGATTATTACGAGTACACGCCAGCTGTCCCACTCGCCACAGAAATGGCCAGGACAGCCATCGGGTACCCACTCGTTTGTTTGGAGGGAGAATTTAAGATGAAAGGCAGGCAGCAGGTCAGAAAGTTAATGGAAAGGCAGCTCATTTAGCCATGGAGGTAACAGAAGAGCCAGCATGCTTTCTAATAACAAAGAGTCAGAGAGGAACGTGATACTGGCTCTTCAGCTCGTCCTTAACGCCACGCTCAACTCCGACAACTTCACTTCTTTCTCAAACCACAAGCAATTACATGAAAGCTGTCAGTCTGTAACACATTTCCTCTACCTGCAGATTACTGGTGTTTTTGTCTCTGTTAGAACACATGTGTATTTCTAATATTAGTGGATAAAATAAATCTTTCCGCTGCAGGCTCACCTTGATGGTCAGCATGATGTGAGTGTGGCTCTTCAGCACCTCCACAGCACTGCTGTGGCTGATGTCCTCAAAGCTCACACCATTAGCAGCCAGGATCTGGTCCCCCATCTTAATTCCGTTCTGCTCGGCCAGACCGCCTGAGTCCAGTCTGACACGTTGGGACCAAACAAAGTAGGGAGTTGATAAAGAAGAATGTTTTGGGGCTTTTTACAAGCTAGAAACTGGTGAAGACATCTTGAAAATGTGAACGAGTGTTCAGAAGAGATGAAAACTTCCAATTAAAGTTTTCAATATTATTCAGTATATAACATATAATATTATTTGGAGAGATACAAGTGGGCAGTATTATTTTTTAAATATGTAAAGAATAAAAGCAAATTAAACGTTTTTATTTAACGTAGTTTATGACTGAAGTCTAAAATTTTATTCTTCTCATTTCCTAGTTCTGCATCTATTCTTTTCTACAGCTGCAACTGAGTTGAAACAAAGCTGATGTGATGTGAGTTGGGATAAAGACATAGTAGTTTTGTACACTGTTTTTGATTCAAAGTAGAAAGCTATATAATAAGCTTTGTCATCAACTCCTCTCTGGTATTCCCCCAGAGGAGCCGGCCCAAGTGGCTGGGGAGAGGGAAGTCTGACCCTCCCTGATTAGGCTGCTGCCCCCGTAACCCGACTTCAGATAAGCTGAAGAGAATGGATGGATGGAAATCTGGAGTGTTGGTAGAAAAATCAGCAGTTAGTGAGACAGACAAGGTGGACAGAGAAGATGGTCTAGAACAGGGGTAGACAACTCCCTTCCCCGAGGGCCGGTGCCCAGCTTGTTTTAGTTGTCACCCTGCTCAAGCTCAAGCCAGCAGCTCATCAAACTCTGCAGAAGCTGTTAACCTGCTGATTCAAATCACACGTGTTTAAGCAGGGAGACAACTAAAACATGCTGGACACTGGCCCTCTGGGAAGGGAGTTGTCTACCCCTGTTCTAGGAGATGCTTTGGTTTGAAGGGGCTGTCCCAGACCCCTCTACATAAAATAGATGTTAGGGCAGGCCTCTTTCCTTCTGTGGAAGGTGTACCCACTTGGACACATAGATGCCCAGTCCAAACTCCTTCCCCCCTCGTATGTTGAAGCCCAGACAGTAGTCATCAGAGGTTGTGTAAAGGTGGACGATCCTGTGCAAGGAGCTGCCTGAGCTGACTTCTGAAGGTGTCCGTCCACTCTCCTCCACCACCATTCGCCTGTGGACCAGGTCCACCCTGATGGGTTAACGTCACATATTTTATAACCAATTCTAAACTGGAAGAAGAAAATTAGGCAAACTTAATGCTTTAGGTTTCATCACCAGGTAGTTTTCTCTTTGGAATAGCGGATGCCAGGGACTTTCCCGACCCTCCTCACCACCATCCTCAGCCTGTTGTTGCCTGTCAAGACCTTCACGGCACTGCTCATGGTGATGCTCTCCAGGCTGACGCCATTCACCTCCACCAGTTTATCTCCCACTTGCAGGCCTGCCTCCTCTGCAAAAAGAAGCAGACAGCTGAAGTCTGCATCAGATTAGAACTCAAACACCTAACCGGTCCGCTGACCTGCTGTGCTGTCATCCTCCACCTTACTGACAAAGATGCCGAGGCCATGTTCTGAGCCTCCGCGCACGCTGAACCCTAGCTTCCCGTCCAAACTCTTATCCACTGTGATGGTGTGGAGGTCCTCACTGTCATCTCCACCTGAACACATCACATCAAGCAACATAAGGGCTCGTCTTTATCAACGATGGAATTTTCAAACCTAACAGCAGTTTTGTTTTCACGTTTTAAGTGTCTTGTCTTACTTTAGCTGGTGATACAGCTAAATTAAGCAGCAGTAGGTCTACAGACAACTGTAATTTGCTCTGCTTCTCACCGTCCACAGGAGAGTTGATGAGGATGACCCGACCCATGGGCGAAGAGGATCGGATTCCACGCTGGCGCTGCTCCTTCTTTCGCAAGAGATTACGTGTAGCTGTGTGCATCCCGTGTGTCCCGGAGGTCTTCTCCCTGCGGGACGGGTCTGATGAGGAAGCCATGGAGGCTGACGGGATCTCCTTTCACTCCCACTCAGCTCCAGGTGGAGGAGCCTACAGGTGGGGGGGGGGGGGGGGACGACGACACACACACATCATATTTCATGTGCATTAATTTGGGGTGGTGTTTTTGAAGGGTTTCCCTGCTGAATGGAGCAAACTCACCAATGCAGGTTGATGTGTGACATGGTAACAGACTCTGTGGCTTCCACTGTGGCCCATTCCTGCCCATGGTGCATCTCTCTCACCTGTCTGAACCTCAAAAACCAACATTTATTGGTGCACAAATCAACACAAAACCAACTCCCACATGTCCACCTCACTGAGGCTTCTAGCAGCAGGGGAGGTCAGAAATGGGACTTGACGTTATTTTTAATGGCAGATCTGACTCGCTTGAGTCACATGGCGTCTCCATGGTTATGTGTCTGTAAACCTAACCCGTGAAAAGTCCCATCACTTGTCGTCACCTTGGGGTTCCCTCAAACTCTCAATAGAGCCTCAGCACCTTGGACAGCGCACAGAAATGCGGCTCGCCAAAAATTGACTCCAGTCACCGAAACAGCCAGTTGTTTTGCGACGGAACGTTTATAAACAACGTAATATGCGAATGTATTAATCCAAAATATCTTAAACGTGTATACAAACGCACATGAAGTTATTATTTGTATCAGTAATAAACACTTACCACACATTTTGAGTTTACTGACACCCACGCGCTTCTTCGCTAGCACCAGGAAAAGTCCAACGTCTCTGAAATATTCATCACTCGATCACTAAAACTATAAAACTACCGGGAACAGGCTCCGTACCTGCGTACCTGTTGGCCAGAAGCCCACATGAAAGAGACATTTCATGTCTCACAGAGATCCGCCTCCATGCCGTAGCGATTGGCTGGACCAGATAAAATACAAAGATCTGATTGGACAGCTAACATGCTAGTCCAATGACGTAAGCTCGGGAGGTCACGCCACACCCGAAAAACTTTGTAAATTAATATTCCAACAACTTCAATAACTTGCATCTGACTTTTTCCACTGAAGGGTTGTTGTTGTCAGCATCGGATCTAAGTAAATAAACTAACTAAATGAGCTGCAAACACAGTGTGTTGTTGATTTTCGCTAACCTGGATTGGGTTGTTGGTGAACAAGAATTCCCAGACTTCCAAGTTCCTCCAGCCACTTCCACCAGCTCCTGGTGAGATCCTAAAGTGTTCCCATGAACCGGCTCAGCACAACAGACTGGTCCAGCAGCATGACTGCCCCGATCTGCTTCGTCTTGTTCATTTGCCTCTCATGAACGAGACCATATTTACAGAGCAGGTCAGAATCATAATGATGTTTATAGTTTTTAAAGTTCCCGTCTTATAAGTGATTTCATTTGCAAAAACGAAGAGTGAACGCCTTCATGATATGAAGCCCCTGATTTGGATTTGGTCTGAACAACACTGTGCTGAGTACTGATAAACTATTTTGTATAAACTTCAGATGCTTTCAAGACTGTTTGGGAGTCTTATTTTGAAGGATTAACAGAACTTTTGAAGAGGATGCTGCTGGGGATAAACACTTTTTTTCTCTTTAAATGCCTCATTATAATTTAACTAGTTATTTTTTTTATATTATGCACACTTTACTTCTTGAAATTTCAACATTAGTTTCAACATTTAAAATTTTATTAATGTCACTACTTCCTTGGTATATATATTTTTTTTTCTCTGACACACTAATGTTCATTAATTAGTTCATGCAAAATGCATCAACTTAATAATCAAAGGCTTTTTTGAATTGTAACTCTGAGTATATGTGGGATGGTGTTATTTTCTCTGCATCACAGAAATTTGCACCTCTTGGAACAAGATGTCTCACTAAAAGTATTAAAAACTTAGCATCTTTCCTTTAGATTATTGGCCATCAAAATCTGAGTTATCGCACATAGTATATTTTTCAATGGAGTGGTTCCAGTGTTCTGCAGATTCTGATCTTTTCTTAATAGTTTCACAAAAACTGTAGACCACCTCCTGCTGGTGAAAATGTATGACCATGAAATCCAGCAATCAACATTAAGGGTCCATTTTGTTTGTCCTTCTGTTGTTTAGAGATTAGGAAGCGTATTTTCGTTAAGGATGTAAGCCAGTCATGGTAAAAGGAAAAACCCTCCTTGTAGTTGTAGTCATTCTGGTCATCAAAGGATTGTCAGCTATCTGGGCCAGAACAGGGACATCCCTGTTTGTCTTCAAGATACTCTTTGTTTTCACCGTTCTCCAGAGAGGATCTCCAAACCACTGTAGAGGGTAAATGTTGTTGCTTTAAAGCTTAATATATTACCTTTACTTATGACCAATAAGCTGTGATATCCTATACAAATATAGAATATCAACCTGCTTGGTCTTTGGATGCTCAATCAGAAGTTTCTAGGATTCTTTGCTTTTTCCAGGGATCAGCATAATTCGTCTCAATTCAGACAGAGTCAGGTTTATAAAAGATAAGAAATTTATTTTCTAAACAAATAAAAACATGACAAGTTAACAAGGCTACTGTGATGGATGAATCTAAGTGGATGGGATGTGATGTATGGTGACTATGTGTGAATGTGAGGTTATCAGAACCTTTGTATCTAGAAGAACTGAGTTCTGGGTGTAAAAAGGAATTTAGTTTGCATTAAACTATGAAGTTGGTTCTTATCAAAAAGGCGTCAGACGCAATCTGTGTGTCTACCTCACCCTTTCTTTGGAGACCCTCTTCATGGATCCGAAGGTCAGGGAGGTCGGATGACCTCTGGGCACCAAGGTTTGGTAGATTAACCGCAGCACGACTCTCCAGTCCAGAGAAGTTTCCGAGTCACATCAGATAGATGAAATAGTTTGCATCTAGAAAAGCTGTTTCTGAATAGTTGAAGGAACCATTTAGCTGTGTCAGCTGTAGGCAGCTTTTAGCAGGGTTTTTGACAGCTTGTCAAAAATGCTCTGGGTTGAAGAGGGTTCGCTCCGGATGGCCTGTCTGTAGCTTTCTCTAGAACTGACTCACAGTCTAGTGAGCTCTGTTTTAATATTCTCATATTATGATTTCTTGGCCAACCGGGACGTGCCACGTTAAGGGGTGTTAACAAGCAAACCTCAGAATGTCATGCCCCTTTCAGAAGAGAATATCTATGTGTCATGATGTTTAACTTAACTTTATCTCTAATGAACCTTGTGCCTGAGTGTAGATAATGAATCACTTGTTAAATCTAAAATTACTGATATCAAAATGTTTCATTTCAACCACAGTAATTTAAGCACAGATTAAAACATTTCATTAGTGTTCATATAAAACATTGGTTCATCCATTTCAAAATTGATTAACTCACGAGCTGAAAATAATCACTTTATTCAGAGTGTGTGCAATCTTGCGGTGTTATTAAAAGAAGGCTTTGTTTGGGAACACAGGCTGATATCTTGTTCCTCTTGAAATGTCAACAAGGTTTGCAGAACCTGTTGCAAGGTAGAATGTAAAACCCACCTTAGAGGGTGGAAATAGGTATTTTAGTTGTGATCATGTCTATATCTACCTCAGTCTTTTCCTTTTGAAAGAAGAGAATAAAACCTGTATTCTAATTCATAGTAATTTTGTGTGGTAGAATTATCTGTAATTGGCATCGGCGAGCACTCAGATCCATGCATCGGTCTGGAAGAGTGGCATTGTTGCATCCCTAATTAAAATCTGTTGGCATCCAGTTACCACTTAAAGTCAGAACCCATATCAAGATTGTAATTCATAATTTTGTTGCAGAAGCTTCTGTGCTGGAATGTCTGATAAATATCCTTCTTGAGGGTGTGAGTGAACCTCAAATATAGATGTAGGAAAAGGTCTCCACCCCCTCTAGGGGATTCTGATCATTTTTTACTCCCTGTACAAAACTAAGTAAACCCATGGAGAACAAAGATGTTTTATTATTCAAATACTCTCAACGCCAAAGGTTGCACAGCTGTATTATACAGGAGACCTGGTGTTATAGATCAGATCCGTTCCTTCTCTTCAGTTTAAGAACAGACCTTCATGAACACATCCAAAGCCTCATCTCATACAGAATGCACCCTTGCTCCCCAGAGGCCAGCACTTTAATTGCCCAGTGGTATTTTCTTGGCAGCTTGAAGGACTTCTGAAATGTTGACTTTATCCCCAAACTCCTTCTCTCTGTGCTCCAGTAATATGCCCTGCAGGAGAAGGGGGAAGAATTGGGTAACAAATTAAAGCTCCACTTTATGGTTGAATTTATCCTTAATATTCTTTACCTGCTGCCCTCGTCCAATGACAAACACCCCGCCGAGCACAAAGCCCTCTCCTAAAACATTTCCCATGAAGCCTTTCCTAAAGGCCCTCAAGCCACTCAGCCACACTCCAACACGCACAAACGCCAGAAGTCCCATCCTCCGCTCACGGGGTCCATAAAAACATCTCTAAAAACAAAAAATTAAATAAATAATACTTTCACTTGTTTTGGTCCTAAACTTTGAGACACACACACCTTTTCATCCAGAAAAATTTCTCCCTTGAAGTATGGTCTGAAGTTCTGGACCTCTGTGCCAATATCCTCCTTCACCACAGCATAGAGTGGGACCCCAAGCTGGTCCAGCTGGGGCTTCAGAGAGGACAGCTCTGCAGCTTCCTGCAGTCAGAAAGCAGGAAAGAGCAAAGAAATATTTCAACAGCCCAACATTCAGAGCCTGGCGCTTTGTCTGGTGTAATTTATTTATATATATATATATATATATATATATATATATATATATATATATATATATATATATATATATATATATATATATATATATATATATATATATAAACCCCTGTCAAGTCTGACATTGACCATATTTCACATGAATGGTGTTGAGAATTACTAAACCTCAGCTCTAAAGATTCCCACCATCCCATCTCCCCTTGAATTAAGCTGCACACAGTGGGAGACAGATCTCCAGGCAGCAGCTCCACAGCTGTGGAAAACCCTGCCAATTTGAGACCACTGAACTTTTCTCAACTTCTCAAGGAGCATTTTCACTTTACGTCATTGTAACGTATTTAGGAAATGTATGCATTAGTAATTAGATTTTTTATTTATATAATTTCAGTTATCATGCTCCTCACTTTGCAGCAATTGAGATTTGACAGAAGAAAAACAAAAGGATTCAAACATTTGTTTAAAACACAACCCTAACCAGCATCATTATTTCTAATTGTATGCTTATTTAAACTCTGATGAACAGAGGACAGTGCCCAATTATTTTCCAACGTTTAAACATTCCAAATGTTTCTAAAGTGTTTTTCCCAGAAGAACTTGCAATGTTTACTTTATGACTCCTAAGTGGCAAGTTGACACGTAATGGACCACATATTGGCTACACATCAGAATCTCTAGATTAGGATTGTTTTTGGGAAAAAAATAAATTTATAAAAAGGCACTAAAATTCCAGGAATGGTCCCACATCTTTAAAACAGATTGGATAGCTGACCCAGGTGTTGCAGAAATGAGGTAAACTTAACAGGAACCAAATGAATGCAGATGTCATTATTTCAGTTAATTCATAAACAAACCTCTCTGCACAAAAATCATCCAGGCCGGCGCACTGCCATAACGACAGCTCCAGACTTCTCCCACAGAGCCTTGGCCTTAAATGTTTTTATTTCTGAGGGGGAGAAGGGAGTGAAAGGGTGATTGCACAAGAGATTAAACACATTCCAGCTTAACAATGGAGACTATTCATGCACTACAGGTCAACATTACGCTCAGCTGTTTTGAGGATGAAATCAAATAGAAAGAAGCTGACCCGACCCACCTCCTTTTAAAGTTTTGAGTTCCGCATCTTCCAAATACTGATGAGCAGCTTTTAGTGGAGGAGTCAGGAAGAAATCGGTGAAGAAGTTCAGCACTCCAGTGACAAGGCCGCCGACGGTGGCCACCGCGTCTCCAACAAGCGTCAGGGCCATGTCCGCTCTGGAGGGTTCCTGTCTGACTTCTGCAGCAGCAGGAGTATTTGATCCCTGAGCACTGCCTCAGAGCCAGCCCTCTGTGGACCTGGATCCTGCTCAGACTGCCTGATTAAACGCAGCTGCGTTCTGAGGGCGACACCAAACATTTATCTCTAAAACACCCAGTAAACAATCCCTGTCATGCACCGTTGGCTCTGCTCTGGCTCAAAGGTCAGCGCTGCAAGATTACAAAACAGAACAAGTATTTTGCTGGATAACTCAATAAAATAAATGCTTTGTCACTGTTGAAAGTCTCTACTATGCAGATCCTGATGATGAGAGTACCCTCTGGTGTGTTTGGGCAATGGGCTGTAAATATCTGAGGGGGTGGAGGCTCAGCCTTTCTTCCTGCAGAGCGAGTCTGAGCTCAGAGTACAACTGTTGGTTAAAAAGACCAAAGGAGTGAAGGTGTGTTAAAGCAAAGCAAATGATCAATGATTGCATGCAACGCACCACCAATGCTCTGCTTTAAACCTGTATGGTTTATAGTGATCTGGACTTGTTTTGGACTGAAACTTTAATACTTTATTTACATGAAAGTCCATCAGAGGAAAGAAGTGGACCCAGAATACAGTGAGTTATAACACCAGGTGATATTTATTTCATACTTTGCACATAAACACATTCGTCAAACTGAAGCGGTAAAATTCAAACGTGGATGATTCACTTCGTTTGGATCTTCTTCCTGAAAATAAGCAACATACTTAAATCACTCAAACTAAACTATGGTTGTGAAAAAGGATTTGTCCCCATCAACATGTTTTTTTTTTGGTTTTTGCATTTTATTTGGTCATACGCACATCATCAAACACATTTCAATATCAGGCAAAGGTGATCTGAATAAATACAAATTGTTGTTTTTAATGATGATTTCATTTAAGCTATCCAGACCACACTGTCTCTATGTTAAAGGTGCATTATGTAAAGATGAAGTAACAATTACATCCTGTGGTAAAATTTGGTTACTGCTACCACTTTAAACACTTCTTTTACACATTCGTTCTGTGTTTATTTTTGTCATATATTTCTTTGTTCTTTTTACACAGTTTAGTAAAAAATAGTAAATCTTCAGGTAAAAAACATTTTTTTTACTAAACTGTGTAAATAAAGATCAAAGAAATGGATCACTTTAAACAACTCTGGAGCTTTTTACCAGCCATCGTCAAATTACAATTGTCGGCGCTGCAGCATTAGCTCGCGGAAGACACGGCACCCCCACAATCACTGATGCTAAACGGTAGTTACGGCCCTCCTTCCTTTGTTTCGAAAGGGGAAAAACTGACAATCCCCACAGCTGGATGTGAAATAAGTTTTAGTATAACCTTCCTTCCAAAATGACTAAACATCGGACTCTTGGGATTTTTTCACTGTAGAATTCTCACTATATTCTTACATAATGCACCTTTAAACAAAATCAAAATTAGATTAAAACTAAATTTTGAATTCACTCAGATTATCTGTGTCTGAGACAGAAATCTGTAAGGGACAAAGCCTCTGTAAGCAGTTTACTTCTGTGAACATCTCTGGTGAGATTTTGTTTGTGAGCGGATCCACCCTCTGTTATTCTCTCGTCGTTATTTGCTCACTCACGTCTCTCCTGATTCACTCCACCATCGAGCCGCCGTCATCAGCCTTCTTATTGATGTTTTGCTCTTCTACCTCCTGAGATGATTAGAAACCAGTTAAACATTAAACCGTTGCATTTGGTTTCTGAACACCTTTTCATTCAAATGTATGGTGATAACTTAGGATAAAAAGAGGAATTAAAAAACAAGACACCTCCACTTCTTCTTTGACAGCTGTATTCTTTGATTCCTGTGATTCAGGCTCGGTGTCTGCAACTTCTTCTTCTTTTTCCGTCTTAGGTTGGAGGCCCTCATCCTTTGGAGTTGGGGCAGCTCCGGGCTCAGTGGTATCTTCAGGGTTAACACCATCAGCCTTATCATGACAGACAGAGAAATAGTGTAGATTAGATGATCAGAAGCTCTACAGCTTGTCTCTGAGTCTAACATTGTCCTTGTTTCAAAGCCACCGTTACATCACTCTGACCTGAAGATGACTCATCAGCGTCATTTATGTGACTTGTCTGCCTCTTCAGATGAGATGTATTAAATAACTGTTCTCTTGTTTCTGAGTGAACACATGCTTCTGAAGCTGCTGATGTATCTGGCTCAAAGTCAATAATTAAATATTCAACAGGAAGCCACCTTTTCCTGCTCCTGCAAGGAGACAGAACTGGATTCTTGTGTCTCAGCTTTGATCTCTACGCTAGTTTCTTCTTCTTTATTTGAAAAGGTTTCCTCTGTCTTCATGTCTTCACTCTCCAGTGTGGACTCTGGTTCTGCTTGGATGGAGTCCTCAGGTTTGTCTCCCTGTTCTTCTTCAACCTTGCAGTGAAGAATAAAAAGGTAGTTGGAGAGATTATGATAGACAATGATCTGACATCCTCCCTTCTCCTAGTCTGGTTTCTGTGACCAGAACACCCAAATGTCTCCTTTCTTCATCAGACCTTTGAACTTCTGCTCACTTTGCTCCTAAAGTTTATTTTCTCTGTCTCACTCCTCACTTGCAGGGGATTTTGCATTTCTTCATGAAGACAGCCACAATCACACACCGTAATACTTTCTTTGCATATGCTGAGTCAGGGTTTTGTTTTTTGTTTAGGTCATCTGTATCTTTAGAGAGTAAGTTGTTCTCATCTTGTGTTGCAGCTGATGGCGGTGGCTCTGTTTGTTCAGGTTCTTCTCCCGCTGTTTCAGTTACCTGTACAGGTGATGAAAGCAACACAATGATTACATAGTGCCACAGTATAACATCAGTAGACAGTTTGCCGTCTGTTTCATGACAGTTTGTTGATGTTTTTTTCACTCATCACCTTTGCTTCTTCTGGGTCACCTTCCATTATTTTCTGGTCAGCTTTGGACTCTTTATCAGGATTCTCCTCAACGTGATCGTCGGTTGTTTCCACTTCTGTTTGCTTCTGTTTCTTAAATCATTCTTTTCACTTATTTGACATTTGTTTCAACACCATCTGATGAGCGCCGTGCCAACAAACATGGCAGCCTTCTCCAACCATCATTTCAACAACTTAGTCAAAATCACTGACATAGAGCAAAATCCCCAGGATGTCAGAATCAAACAATCACACAAATGTGATTTGTAATGTTTATTACCTCCCGTTCAACATCAGTTTCCTGCACCTCGGGTGGATGCTCTCCTGTACTCTGCTTGTTTTCTACATCAGGACAGCCTGGTCTTTCTTCTTTGACTGAATTTGCATCCTCAGCAGATTCTACAGCTGTTTCAGTGGGTGCAGCAGACTGTGTGGTCTTCTCAATCATCTGCTAAAATGATAAAGGAAGGCCTCTTTTCAGTTTCTATGCGGCACATATTTCTAACTAAAATCTTCAGTCTCTCAATACCTGCAGGGGTGAACTGCAAATGGTTTGATCTTTAACTATTCTGTTTCTTCAAAGCTGAAGGCAGCAGTAGCAGACAAAGGGCCTGATGAACTAAAGGTAAAAGGTGACTGGGTATTTGTGGTGATTACATCCTCCAGCCTGATGAGGTTGTTTGTCTAAGCCACTTTTTATCCTCCACAAACCCTCAAACCCTTTTTGAAGATCAGGGCTTTACCTGGGCCTGCCTGGTGTAACTGGTAGCGTTGCTGCTTCACAGCAAGACGGTTGCAGGTTAATAAACCTGGCCTTTCTTCTTGGAAAGCAGGTTCTTCCTGTACATGCGTCATTGTCTCTAGGTTTGAGTGAGTGTGTGGCTGATTGTATGTCTCGTTTGTCTCTATGCCCTATGGACTGAGAATCAATCAAGGGTGTCCCTATCTCGTGTCCAATTACTGCTGGACCAGCTCCCTGCAAACTACTCGAGACAAACTGGAAAATGACTGACTAACTTTTAAAGTTATATTATGGGGTTGGGTGAACTCGTTATTTACTAATATCCTACTATAGCTCTACATTCTAATGAAGCTTTTTGTTATTTTTCTACATAATCTTGTTGAAAAAGACAAACAACAAGTTACTGTTTCAGATGCAAGAAAATCAGTTATTATTCGGAGACCTGAAACTATTTTAAAGTAATTTGGCAGCTGCAAAGGTAGGGTGACCATTTTTACCTATACACCCTTTGAAATAGTCTAGATGAATTTAATAATTAGCCCATAATAGAGACTACAATTCCGTGTACTAGACAGAGATTAAAAATGCAGTTTGTTGGAGTTAACAAGTAGAGTTTATTTTAACATTTGTATAAAAGAATAAGATGAATAGATAATTAATTTATATGTTATGTGTTATCTATTTTTTCCTGTAAGGGGAAGCACAAAACAAACTCCTTAAGAATGGAGTCATAATTTTTGTTTCACATTTTCACACTAACCTTTAAAAACTACACATAAATGAAGTGTTTAAAAAAATCTAGTTGTATGGAGTAAAGCAGACCCTTATCTAATGTTTTGGAGTAAGGGAACGCTGCCATGTTGAAAGCATGTGGTGTTGTGCTGCCCTCTGCTGGCTAGAGAAGAAAACGGTAGCTCACCAGTTTCTTATACTCCACATTAGAGTTGTGTCTGTACAGCCAGTGAGCCAGGTACAGGATGGGGTCCTTAGGTCGCCGCTCGGCCACCTCCACTAGTCCTTCCCCCAGACATTTCCCCAGGTGCTGTTTTATATACTCCGACTCCATATAATTGCCTTCTAACCACACACACACACACACACACACACACACACACACACACACACACACACACACACACACACACACACACACACACACACACACACACACACACACACACACACACACACACACACACACAAGAAACATCAATATTCCTCTCTTCCGCCTTTTACATTCAGCGGTCGACACAGCGAGCCACCAGTCTAACAAAACATAATGCTTTAGCATAAATGGGTTTGCGGAAGGAGCATGAAACCCTGGCGTGTGTAACCAAAAGGTAACTAAAGTAATTTATCTTTTCAATCTAATTTATTGTTCTAAGTTAAGTAAGCGTCCCGAATCAAGTAACACATTTGAACTTAAAAGCAAGAAAACGAACCCTTTTCTGCGCGTCTTATGTGTCTTTCCGGTTTCCATGGTAACCGTCCCACACCATCAATATTCCCCCCAGGCTTTGAAAACTGTTCCCACTTCGCCTGGTTCCACTAGGTTGTTAAAACAATTCAATTCACGTCATTGTGTAATTCGAATTTCCACTGAAATAATAAACAAATACAGTAAAAGACTCGGGGTTGTTTTATTCAACCTGTTTCTATTTGTTGAATGTTTTCAATATTTATTTTTAATAAAATTAAAAATAGCAAGTGACAATTACATGTTGTCTAGTTTCTTATTTAACATTTGTAGTAACGGGCATTTAATGTTACTAGTGACCTGTGGGGGCGCTGTAGGCCATCAACGGAACAGTTCTAGTTGTCATTACCTTCTTACCCACCCAGCCCCAGGGGTGTGCACCATAGTGTTGAAGATGTACGCAAAGGTTGCTCCTGCTCTGTTTTATAAAGTTACACAACTCTCAAGAACCGTCTGGTCTCTTCATACAAAGATGTTACATATTGGCAACGAGGAAACTGGTGAGCTCGGAAAACGCTGTTAAAGTTGACAACGTATTTTTTTTCTTCTCAAGGCGGCTGAGCTAAGCTGTTTCCATGCTGGGGTTGCTGGCTGCGTATAACGCTCAAACACAGAGCTGAGAGGAGTATTGTGAAGTGTTGGAGCACTTTTTTGAGGCATACCAAATTTCGAATACAGGACGAAAGCGAGCCCATTTGTCGAGCTCAGTGGGCAGCAGGACATACAGTTTGATGAGGAACTTATTGAGTCCGGATAAGCCGGATTCTCAGAGTTGACGAGCCTGCTTCAGTCACATTATAACCCAAATCTGAGTGACATAGTCCAGAGATTGAAGTTAAGTTCATGGACAAGAGCGGCTTATGAGACTATAACAGAATATGTGGCTATGCTGCGGGAGTTGGCGCAACACTGTAACTACAGAGACAGGCTGAAGGAGATGCAATGTGATAGGCTCGTATGTGGCATTACAGATGACCGCGTACAACGAAGACTGTTGGCGGAGCCTGAGTTGACATTTGAAAAGACCTTAAAGCTGGCACAAACCATTGAGACAGCAAATAAGGATATTTGTGATTTACAGCCAAGAACACTGGATGGGGCTGGAAGCAGGAGTGCTGCCTCGCTGCCAGTCCATAAAGTGATAATGGCGCATAAACGACAAGGCAAGAGTGGTCCATTTATCTGTTATAGGTGTGGTGGTGAACATCTGTCCCGGGACTGTTGTTTTTTAAATGAAAAATGTCATGGTTGTGGAAAAAGGGGCCATGTGAGGAAGATATGCAGGTTGGCGCCTCCTAGTGGCCAGCAGGGGAAGGAGGAGAAAATGAACATTACAAAGGACAAAAAGGGAAACTGGAAAAATAAATAGCAGTACGCACGTCACATAAGGAAAGCTACAGACCCACAATCCAATGAGGAAGAGGAGGTGTTTACTATGCTTAACATGAAGGAGTCAAAAATGGACAGTGTCGATCCAATTATTATACGGTTGGACGTAAATGGACAAAGGATCCGTTTTGAAGTGGATACTGACTGCAGTGTGACAGTTTTATCGAAAACTGAATATGGGAAGTTATGGCAAGACAGAAAAGCTCAGGAGCTGCAGGACTGCTCAGTGACGTTGAAAACGTATACAGGTGAAAGAGTCTCCACACTAGGGATGGCAAAAGTAACTGTATCACACAAAGACAAAGTCAAGCAGTTGCCAGCAGTGGTGGTAGCATGCAGCGGACCAAAATTGTTAGGTAGAGCTTGGTTGAAGGAGTTGTAAATGAACTGTATACAGGTCCATAAGATAGGACAACATCAGCTGACCTTACAGCACATGCTGCAGAAAAAAGAAGTGTTCAAAGAGGTACTGGGTACTTGGAGGGGTCCACCAGTAAAAATACACACAAAGGAAAATGTCATCCTAAAATTCTACAAACCTAGATCAGTGCCATATGCAATGAGGAAGAAGGTGGAGACAGCTAGAGAAACTCACAAAGCAGGGCATCATTAATCCAGTGAAGTTTTCGGAGTGGGCTGCACCCATTGTGCCAGTATTAAAGGCGGACAATACTGCACGCATCTGTGGTGACTACAAACTCACCGTTAACTAAG